GAGTTGTTTGGACTGATGAAGCTATCTTCAAGTTGAGTGGTCATGTCAATCGGCACAATTGCGTTTACTACGCTGTAGAAAATCCCCATGTTATCATTACTCAAGAAATGAATACCCCAGGCATCACGGTGTGGGCTGGAATTTGGGTTGGAGGCATCATCGGGCCGTTCTTCTTTTATGACAACGTTACTGCAGACAGCTATCTCGAGATGCTCCAAAAAGATATTGTACCCTCTATTGCAAATGAAATGGATTTAGAAGATGTAGTCTATATGCACGACGGAGCACCGGCTCATTACGTTCAATCTGTCCGGCACTTTCTGGACAAAACATTTCCTGATAGGTGGATTGGTCGATATCGATGGATCGACTGGTCGCCACGATCTCCAGACCTCACACCAACTAACTTGTTTTTATTGGCTGTCATCAAGGAGCATGTATACGCGACGAAACCTCAAAGTCTTCAAACACTAAAAGATGCTATACTCACTGAAATACGAAGTTTACCGGTGAAATTTTGTCAAAGCGCTTGCTACGCAGTATCTGAGAGACTGGAACTTTGCAAAGACTTAGGTGGTAAACATATTGAACAATTTCTCTGAAGAACTTCATAATAAGAACACTCCACAAAGACATACTTTTGCACGTGTTTTTTTCTTAGTTGGAACTTCTAATGAAAGTTTTATTGGAATTCACAAGTTTTTCCTTCTTGTTAGTCGTTCTGTATTTGAACGCTTTTAGATTATTTACTACATTTACATAGCGTTCATATGACCAATCTTTTATTTATCACACCTAGTATATGTGGTATAAATATCAAGCGTAAGCAACAATCTATAAGATAGAAATCGAACAAAAAAAAGACTATTTTTCCTTACTTTTGGGCCACCTGGTATATATTATTCTTTACGTCTCAGCCCTTCGGCTGATCCATTTTCATCTTGATTTAATTTTGTCATTATTGGTGAACATTTTTGTTTTATCTCTTTCAATTTGTACTTGAATTCATCTTTTTTCGCCATTATCTTTTCTTCTAATCATTGCAGAATATCATTGATAGCCAATGTTATTGTTTCTTTATCAAAAGTACTAATTTTTTTCCTACTAATTGGTGATCATTTACAGTTGTATTCATATAGTAACAATATGATTCCAAGCTGTTTTAGCTGAAATGCATTCACATTGTATTTCATTTTCTTTCCTGTATTTTTCAGCATTACAGATCATACGATCAATTGCATCTTTTGATAAACTACCTTTTTTATTTGTCATCGTAATTCTATTTTGACGTTCAGTCAATGTATCCTAGCTGATGAAGTCAATATGCCATTAGCATCAATATCAAACATAATCTCTATTTCTATGACATTACCAAGAAATAAATAAATGAAAAACTGACATTTACTATTGATTCATAAAAAGTTGAGAGAATGTATTCACGATTAAATGACACTTGTGTAACTATTACGAATCCTACCTGAATAAAGATTCTTCTTGTCTTGTTGAGTCTTTCATATTTCGGTAATAAGCTGATGTTTAGTTCATTATTCCAATTTTCTAAATACTTATGTGGTGCAGATAGAATATCAGATAACTCGAAATGATTGTCTTTGATCATAAAACGTTCAGCTTCATATACTTTGACATCGACACTTGTATGATTATCTGAATAGGTAGTGAATGTTTATGTTCGTTTGCTTGCAATTATTATGTTTTGTTTGAGTAATATCGTCATTACACTATCGACCGTTTTAATACCCAATGATAATGGTACCACATCTAACAATAAGACGTCTTTGGATTCCTCGGATTTGTCATCGGTCAAAATGGTGGTCTCTACAGCAGCGCCATAAGCAATGGCTTCATCCAAAAATTCAATAAATATGATAAGAAGAAAGTGAAGAACATCTTCCGTAGAACATTTACCGAACTAACTGATTTGTTCAACACTTTTTCATAGAAGAAATTTTGCAACAATTTTGTACTTTTGGAATATATGTTGAGTCACCGATCAATACGATTTCATCTATATGAGATTTATCCTATTAAAAGAAATAGAAAACGATACTTTGTGTACTGCATAATGCTAGATTTAAAAAACCTAGATCGCAGTTCTTTTGAGGACTCAAAACTACGACGTTGATAATACCTCGCTACTTCATATATATGTCTAGAAACCCTTCTGAAGTGTCACAGACCGTAACACACATTTCATCATGTATGTCACAGTATGGGAGAATCCACACTTCTCGCGATACAGTTCAAAACTCATTGCCAATCATGCTTCACAAAACGTACCATGCTAGCATTACGTAAAGCTTTCTCAATCAGTTCCGATGTAGAAATAAATAAATCAGCATTTCGCTTCTCAAATTGAGCATGTGTGATGGTAGAATAGTAATCAATGCCTTCGGGCAAGCTATCAATCTCAATTGATGTTTGAAATGTCAATGATAACGTCCTCTACAAGAAAACAATTACCATTTGTAACTCATTTTTCGATATATGATAATGTATATTTACCATTGTGCGCTCACATACTATTGTTAATCACCGAATTCTATGTTTATTCTGGAATAAACCATTTTTCTTTTTTTGTTCAAAATCTTGAACGAAATATGCACCCATTCGGTTATCAAAATCTTCTCCTGTAGATAACGAAAAAGATAATATTATGTTAGTAAGCATTATATAATAAATTAAATAACAAACATATCTCCTAAATGTGTGTCTTCAGCAGTTGATTTTACTTCGAATATTCCATCTTTAACTTTTAATACACTGATATCGAATGTGCCACCACTCAAGTCAAAAATCAAGATATTCTGTTCCGTCCTAATTGGGTGTGGGTGAATTAAGATAAAACCCACACCTATATCATACCGACACCCATACTCACGCCATACTCATACCCTGAATCGAATTGGTAAAACGAAGCGCATTTAATTTGAAAAATAAGTTTTTTTTTCGCTAGACTTCATTTTTCTACTTTAATATTTATATTATGCCTATAAAAAGAAAAGCAATGCTACAGCACCAATTGAACCAATTAGACCATGAATTAAATTGTAATGAAATATATTCTTTCGAAATATTTTCATGAGTATGGATGATTAGCAATTCATAAGAACAATCAAGCAGAAAATTTCTTCCACTGATTTAAGATTTCCATAAATTTTCTCATTGATTTGAGACGATAAATTCTGCAAGTGTAGATGGATATGGGTGTGGGCATTCTCATCTCTCACATCCACACTTTCATCCTCGAGATTGATTTGTATGATAGACATATCGATCGATCTGTTTTCAATTGATTTAATATCATGTACTAATTATAAAGAACGAGGAATTTCGGAAAAATCTACTTTTCATAACGAGATCTGTAGATTGGATATAGAAGTAAAATGCATATTAATATATACTGATATAAGCAGCATACAGTTAGATTATAGGCATTTATTAAATAGGACCGATCCCCAGATTATTTTATGTGCTCATGACTCATACCTTAGTTCCTTTATGTTATTTTCATAGATCGAAGTAAATATGAGAACGAGAAAAAAATATTCCACTCTGGAATTCATTCAAGTATGCATACAACTAATGAAGTGAAAGTAAATCTTGAGAGTAGCTTGAAAATTTGATTCAAACAGTATTGAATAAATATCAGATGCAAGTAATAATCAGATAGGCATACGACTGTTTGAATATCGAAGCTCTATCAAATATAAATATTTGATTATAATTGTCTCGATAATCAAACCTAAATCATCGCCCTATTGGTTGAACCATATTTTACTAGCACTAGCGCTTTAAGTAGTAACATATGAATTGACTTACTGAATTCTGCTTCTTGATGCGATTTCTGTTTTTTAGATTCTACAACTGTTCAATCATTATTTCGAAGCGGTTGCTTGGAAAAGAACTGAAAAAATATCTATCGTTTAGACTCGTCAAGTTACTGCTCCATCTCGATTGAACTACAATATCCTGCATTGCTATTAAGAGAAGTAAGATCATTACGTTAATTTCTCTTCGTAAGGATGAATTAGTATGGGAATAAATAAAGCTTCCAAATGACAGAGCGACGGAGAGGATATATTAGTATTCGTCATCGAAACATCTTGTTTCTTGACGCATTAAAGGTATCGATCATTTTATGTATTTGTATTATGATATGTAGTGATTATTTGTGCATAGTTCTTTGAGATTCTTAGAAAGAAAAGAAGACAAAAGTCATTATGTACATAGAAAATCGATGAAATTCTTCATAGAAAAGACGACCTGGATCGGCTAACAGTCAATATACATATATATATTGGGGTAGCCAGTCTGATCGGAGGCTCCAATTCTTTTTTTTATCGTTGTCTCTATAGTATTTCAGAAAAATATGATTTTTTTACCAGTTATAGTACTCGTGTAATGTTGATGATCTGCCAAGTATATGACGCTCATACCTTGTTTAAAAACAAAATTATCAAAGTCATCAAAAAAATATTTTGCTTTCTATGAACAGATTTTTTTTGAAGATTTTGATTATTTCGTTTTTAAACAAGGTATGGATGTCTTATATTTGCCAGATCATCAGAATTATACAAGTACTATAACTGGTAAAAAAGAATCATATTTTTCTAAAATACTATAGAAGCAGAACGATAAAAAAAAAGAATTGAAGCCTCCGACCAGACTGGCCACTACCATATATACATATGCATGCACAACTAATAGAAATATTCTTTCCCACTTGTAAATAAGTAATAAAAGAAAGGCCCAAAGGGGATGTGCGTCAAAGTGACTCTTCTAGACGACAACTTTACTTGTTATCGAACGGCCTATTTAACAGAATTGTATGTAATTCTGTTGCGTATGACGAACGAGGGAAGTGAGTTATTTTTTCCACATCAATACATACTGATGAAAGAAGAAAAACAAATCAACCTGAGTTGATATATAAGAAAGACATTTTGCAAAACGAATATATTTGTATGATAAGGTCAACAATGAAGCACAATCCACCAAAACTCGTTCGCTTTATGAGTGAACAATATCAGAACTATGGTTACACGGGGGAGGATCCCGATAGTGAAACACCGAAAATCATCGCACCAATTAAGGTAATTAAGAAGAAGAATTTCATTCGTCAAATCTCAATTGAAGCTGAACACAAAGTCGATCAATTAGAACAAGAAGCAGAACTGGTTAGTGAAATTTTACAACAACCATCATTCACTCGATTGAAGTCTATCCATGAAAATGAGATTATCGACCAACATACCACTATTGTCATCGAACCAGTAGCTGAACATACGGTCATTGAAACTGGTGTGACACATTCTGCAATAAAAACTGGCAGTCAACGGGTACGTTGGAATCTTTTATTTAATCTCCTTCTATGGCTCGTTGTTCCACTTCCGTTTTGGGTTCCATTTCTTTCGAACAAAGTTGCTTACTGTATAATACCATCGATTCAAGGTGTTTTCATTTTCATGTGGACTAGTAAGACAACTCGAATATGCTTTCATTCTTATAAATGACCTAAACAATTTTGACTTTTCTAGTTATTGCAATATTGGCCGCGAAAAATGTCTTCATTTTATTTGCGAATCGCAAGCGTAATTTTACAGAAAATATCGCCTCTCTCGAAAAAACACGCATTCGTCATATTGTTGCTATTAGTTGTTACAAAGAACCACTCGAATTAATTGCAACAAGTGTCCAATCAGTGGCCAATCAGACTGAAGTACATCGAATAACCATGGTGGTCTCCTTCGAAGAGAAAACACCTGATAAAGAAGAGAAATGTAAATGCTTAGATGATAGATTCAAAGATGCTGGATTTGAGAGAATCATATTTACTATTCATCCATTTGGTTTGCCAAATGAAATTCCAGGCAAATGTTCGAATTCGAATTATGGTCTTCGAATGGCTGTTAGTCAAATGGATGCTGCTGGTGACGATATGGACAATATTCTTGTGACAACATGTGATGCTGATTCAAAATTTCCACCAAATTATATTGCAGCATTGACTCTGAAATATTTACAAGAGAATAGACCAGCATTAACTACAATTTATCAAGCACCTTTGTTTTACAATTGGAAATTGGATGGTTTATCATTTGTAACTCGTGTTACAGGACTTTTGCGAAGTTTATTGATGCTTGGTGCCCTCATTCCATGTAACATCAATACAATGAGTATTTTTTCATATTCACTTAGTCTAGCAAAAAAAGGCAAATTTATTCATCCGGCATATCAAATGGACGATATCATCTGTCTTATTCGATGGATGGGTGTAACACAGCAACGCCTCCGAATCTCGATGATTCCTGTACCAGTCATCAGTGGACCGACATCAGGCGAAACCATAGAAACTGAAATCATAGAATGGGCAAGACAAGCACGCCGTTGGACCATCGGAGCTGCAGAAGTCTTTCATTACTTTGTCATCAAAGCAAAGCGTATGCCAACAATGGCAGCCTTATCTTGGGGCTTGGTTTTCATTATCTATTATGGAGTTCTGCTGTGTACAGCTGGCTTGTTCGGTTTAACATCTTTACTATCCATGGCTCTAATCATCAAAAATGTTCCACCGGTGGTTACTTATATCATGTATGGCTTCTTGGGTCTCCAGATGCTGACGTTTTTGGTTGCATTCATTATTGATGCATTCATTGTTCAATTGATGAATGTTCATCAACGTATTTTTATTCTTCGCAACGCATTTCATTTCATATCAACACCATTTGTACTCTTAGGTTATTCACTGGTAGAACTCTATGCATTACATGAAGTGGTTGTATTTGGCAGGAAAGTCTGTAAACATGGAGCATCAGCCAAGAATGTCTTAACCTAATCATTATATCTATCTGTGACATTTGTGCAACATATCTCTAAAAGTGGGTTTCAATCGAAAGATTCATCTGAGATTATTGAATCTTTGAGATTGTGCCTATCAACCTTTTGCACGTCATCCTTCCATGATTTATATTTTCAATAAATATAAACCACAAGATCTGTGTCATTCGTTTGGGTGTGGATGTGGGTGTGGATGTGGGTGTGGGTGTGGGGTGTGGGTGTGGGTTGAGAAAAGAACCGCATTAATACCCACACCCGCACTCACACCCTCAAGTTCGATTCGGTTTTGAGGCTGTTAAATATGTATTCTGAATTATAGTCGCTGATTTTAAATGATTTTTAGTTGATTTAAATCAGTTGTTACCGTTTTATATAACGCACAAGTACATAGATTCAAAAATCTATCGCTCATTAATCATAGGTGTATCAACTAGGGAGAGATTGTGTCCGTATGTATATAGTTCGAAGAGTTGAATTTGATTTAAACCTTTAAAAAGTAATTGAGCTGGTATGTACAGTGTCCGTTGCGGACCAACATTCCAGTAACGACCTAGATTGAAGCCATTACAAAATGCTACACCTTTCGACCACTTGGAATCCAACTTCAGATAAGTATCGTCCACCGATTGTTGATTATCGATGAAAAACGAAGCAAAGAAAAGACGAGGACCATTGAGAAGAAAATTATTAGCACGATATTCTATCGACATCGATCTCCAGTTGTTCATATTTGATGTACCTTTACGAAATTCCAAAACATGTACTATCCACTCTTTAATTTCAATCTTATCATTCAGTAGAACTTTACCGAGAAGACCCTTTCGGCCATGATCAAGCAGTGGACCAAAATTGACACGACCCATATTTTCAACGAGAATCGTCAAGTTTTTAGCTTTGTCCGATAAATCGAATTGGAACTGACTGATGTTCGGCAACGATTGAAATATCACTTGACCATTGACAAGAACGACAGCATTATCGGCCACAGCTGTCACAGTCACTTTACATGCTAGACTTTTGGTTAGTGACACAATATTTTTGGCCGTATAGAGAATAAAACCTTGCGAGGCACCGGATTTATTATTGACCGATAGTTTTTCCATACTTTTCGGCCCATTGGTTAGTTCACTAGTGACCGTGAGTAAATCATCAGCAAGGATATCGTCGAATGTTTTATAGCCACTTATTTGAATGGTACCATAGCTGATTTTTTTTGGTGAGGGTGGAATCGTTGGAAGACTGTATTTGTTGTGATGTGAATGATCATTATTCAAGACATAGAGATCCGGATGTTTCGAATAGAACTTTTCAAGAACACGCCGAATGGCATAATATTTCGGTGTTGGGTCGCCGGCTTCGTTTAATGGTGCATCGTAATCGTACGATGTCACGAGAGGCTTGTACTGCTCGGATGGAAAATGGGCGGCACCGGAAGTAAAACCGAAATTTGTACCACCGGAAAACATATAGAAATTGATGGAAATTTCTTCTTTCGACGTCAGAAGAATTTCTTCGAGATCAGCTTCGAACATCTTTGCATCATACGGCGTTCTAGAGCCGGTCTGATGTTTTCCACCCCAATAATCGAACCAACCGGTCCAATATTCAGTTATCATCATATGATGTTTTGGACGAAAATGGCGTAAATATTCGAGTTTTTCTCTTGGTTCCCGTTGAAAATTGACCGTTGCCCAAACATCATCCAGAGTACCGGCTGCCAATTTTTTCGGTCCGTCAGATGTCAATAGAATTTCGTCGAGACCGTATTCGATGTACATCGAACGAATGGCTTCGAGATAGGTCGTATCGTTACCATAGCTACCATATTCATTTTCAATTTGAAATGCAATTATCGATCCTGTTCCATGTCGATTGTATTGATGTTCGGCGAGAATTGGTAAAAGTCGCGAATAATAATTTCGTAGGGCTCGAAGAAAACCTTGATGATTACTGCGGACGCGCATTGTTTCATCGCGAAGTAACCAACTCGGTAGGCCACCCCATTCCCATTCAGCACAAATGTAACCTAGATAATAAAATCAATTATTCTTTTTGTTCAATCAAATAGTTATCTAAATGATCAAACGGCATACAACTAACGATGCATCGAGTTGTTTTTTTTTGTTTTCAATCAATCCGTTTCGAACATGATGAGGATTTACCTGAGGGTCGAACGATGGCAAACATTTCATTTTCGTGAATTAACTTAAGAAAGCCGGCTAAATCAGTGAAACCTTTACCAAATTGATAGTTGCCTTGCTGGGGTTCATGTATATTCCATGGAACATAGGTTTCAATCGTATTTAAACCAGCCGCCTTCATTTTCTTAATACGATCGGACCATAATTGTGGTAGAACACGAAAATAATGTAATGAACCGCTGAGTATTCGAAATGGTTGCAAATGTTTACGATTTCGATCGTTATCTTTGAAGAGACGAATGAATAAATGTCGTTCGTTATCTAACACTAACGTCGGTGAATACGTTACTGGCATGATGAAATTTTTGAGAAAGTATATGAGGAGACCAAATATCGTAAGATAACCGCAAATAACGAGAAGTCGATGCTGATATGAGATGCCACCTATTCGTCTAGTCCATCGTTTTATTGTAATGGTTCTTGTTTGCTTCTTCGTCTGTTTACAATCGATGTTGTTGAATATGTAAGAGAAAAGTTGTTCGACGGAGGTATGTATATGCTTCATTGTACAATATTATTATTGCTTCGCACGTATGAAGTAACAAAAGCGAAATATAATGTTACGCGCAGTAGATGAAGAAGAAAAAGAAAAAAACATCGAAAATTGCACTTGTTACCGATGAATGATAATAACGATCATACATTCTTAATCGATAAAAAAAAAAGTAATCGACGCTCACAAAAACAGAATAACAATTGGCAAACTAGTTGTGTCTAGATTTTGTCCTTAGATCAGCAGTCACATACATATAAACGAAGTAATGCTTTGTAACAGCTGTGTTCTTCAATTTAATCCAGTCAAACTTCAACTGAAAATGTTCTTTTTCTCTCTTTCTTTCTTTTCTTCGTCTTCTCGATGAAGTCGACTATCAAGCTGTGCCCGCTTCGACTAAGAAACAAGAAAAATATGTCATAGCAAAAGAAGGGAGAATGAGCAATATCAAGCACGTGAGAAGAACAGAAAAATAAATCATCTACAATGGAGATTTTTCATCTATTGCGTCATTGAAAAACAATTTTCTTCATCATTGAGGATTCTGTTCAATAGAAACACTTGATCAACTAGTCGAAAGTCGAATAGCAGTGTTTAAATCAAGCAGAAGATCTTCACCGTCGATCAGCATTCTGTCAAAGCAAACATCGTGTTTGTATAGATTGTAACATTTTTTCTTTAAGTAAAATTCATGATCATTGTTAAAGTCTACCGGATGAACATTACAGTACCTTTCTTCTTGAGATATCGAAATTTTCAACAGAAACCTGTGGTCCTATTCGGATTAACACTTAAAACTCTGTTTGAATATAGCTTCTAATGATACTAGACTAATATAGAACTTTCACTGATTTAAGTATACATTAACTATATATTACCTATCGAACTATTACAAATCTAATTTAATTACTTTTTGATACATGAAATCTTTCTTAGTTTTTCTGATGTCAGTGATTATGTCAATGCTGTTCTACTTTCCTATTTTACATATCAATTAGATTTGAAATCAATGAAAAAATCTGAATTAAATTTTGTTTGCTATTGTATTGGACCTGAACAAATTATTGCGTTAACACACTCTCTCATGATAACGATACATCTCATCTATTTGTATTATTTTTTTTGTCTACTTTTCAATTTGAACAATTCATTCGATTACAATCAATTACATTAATTGATGTCAAATATGAAGTCATAGAACCAATTTTTAACGATTTACATAAACTATTGCAATTACGTTCACTCTCAATGTGTTTGCTCAAATACTACCTCAGCTAAAGTGTGTATATTTGAACAATCGTAATCTTTTGAAATCGATATCACTACCTCATCTTGATCATTTAAAACTTAAAAAAGTATTCATTTAATCAACTTAAAACAATTTTTCAGCATGCGTCACAACTCAAATCATTTGATGTTTGTCTACGATTTGAGGATCAGTTTTCTCACATTATCTTATCACTATCTCAATTAATTCGATTCAGTCTGACAATTGAGAGTAAGTTTTACCAGATTTTATTCAAATAAATTTTCGATGACGACAGTTATGTACTTTTTAAGTTTGACAAACAAAAATAATTTTAAAAAATATTCTGCTTTTATTCTGTTTTGAATGATAAATATAGCTTAATTTAAGTCATAATACAAACTATGACTAACATAGGTTGGTATCAAATAGACGGTGACGACTATTTGAATTTGATTTCTCATTTGATTTGAATTTAAATATGCACCGAACCCAAATTCTGGCTAGGTGTTTGCGTTCGTGTTCGGAAACTATCCAATCAGTTCAGACAGTGTTGGGTATTTGGATAACTAATCCAAGCATTTCTTGAGGTATATTGTTAATCTCAGTGTCTTTTAAGATTTTCATCTCAAAACCCTAAAAACTAGATATTTTTTGATTTAATTACACTAATTAAAGTTATGACTTTTCGAGAAATCATTTCATAAAGGGATATCTTGTATCTATTTTTTCTTTCTTCATTACTTCAATTTATTTTTCTATACACATTCATTAGAGTACTATCTTTCATAGCAAATTACGTAATAGCATTTTTTAAAGTAGAAAATATGACAAAACTTGTTTTAACTTGTTCACCTGGTGAACTTGGCTCAAGTATTTTACGATATTTACTTAAATTTGGGATTAATCCTATAGATATAATTTTTTCTTGGCTATTGAAGCAGCACAAAATCTCGGTATAATAAAACATATTTTTCATACAAGTGTAGCATGTAATGATACTTAAGAAACACCAATAGTGACAGCGCATTTAAATTCGAAAGAATTAGTCAAAACATCAGATCTCAAAGATACAATCATTCGTGTAAGCATCTATTAAATGTTTTTCATCAAGAGAAATTCTTGATGAAGCAACAACTCAATTATTATTATAACCTAGTGGTTATGAAACTCAAACGATTCTATTAACTGGTTCAAAAGCTTATACAATCAAATAAACATTTACATTAGTATCCGAGAGATTTTAGATTATAAGATTCCTGTTCGAATCGATTCGTTGCAAGAGCGTGTGTAGATGTGGATTTTCTCTTCATCTGTACCCACACATCCATATCAACATACTTACATCCACACCTAAAATATAATTGATTGGTTCAGTTTCTGTCAATTATTACTTAAGCAAGTTATAGTACGCTAAGAATTGACGTTTGTGTGGTTCATTTTAAAATATATCTTTCAAAAAAGAATTATGATGAGAAAGCAATACGAATATAGTTAAGTAATATATTATACGAGATCGCACGTAACAATCGAAAAAAAAAGGAATGAAAATCAAATAATGAGCACTTAATAAAAGTAGGTTGCAAAATATTCTTTCTTTGTTATCATAAGCTACTCAAGTAGAAAGTCTAATGAAGTATTATTTTGAAAAATTTATTGACAATAATTTCGAGTGGAAAGAACTGGATTGAATAATTGCTTCGTAACTTTGTTGTTATGATACGAATGTCATTTCGGTGAGAAATTATCATCACAGGCAAGTTTTAAAGCATATTGACCAAGTAAACGAGTTGTATCGACAATAGGTTTTCCAAGATTATTTTCGTTATATACTACAGGTAATTCTGTACATCCAAGAATCACCGCATCACAATCATATTTTTTTATATCTTGTTGAACATCTTCTACTGTAGTTGAATTTATCTGTGATGGAATAATTTCCTTTCTTATTAAATGTTCAATTTTATCACATACATTATCTGTTGGAATCATCGGAGTGATGTTCTTTGAATTTAGAACTTCATTGTATAATCCACCTTGCATTGTAAGTTTAGTTCCAAGGACTAAAACTTTGGAGAAACCTTTTCTTTGACATTCATCAGCCACAATTTTAATTAAATTAACAACTTTCAATGGTGAATTCTTTTCAATAAGATCAATAGCAAAATGAGGAGTATTTGATGGAATAATGATAAAATCAGCACCGATTTTTTCCAATAATCTAATCGATTCACATATTTTGTCGGCCAAACTACTCCAATCTTTTCTACAGATAGAATCTTTGTATTGATCATAAGAAAAAGCATGCATTGTAAATTCTGGATGTTTTCCTGATGAGTCGATCTTCGCCGCTTGTGCAACAATTTCATTGGCACATAAACATGCACCGACTGTTGTAATATCAACGATTCCTATGTGTTTCATACGTTGTAAATTGGAAATAATTCCTGATTGTTGAATAATTGATTTAACAGACATACGTGATATCTTAAAATGACAAATTAGAAAAGTTATACGTAATATTCCAATATGATTGTCGATCCAAAAACGGTTCTCAAAGTATCTTGTGCTTTCAAGACATGCAGATGATATATGGGTAACAATATATGATTTGAGAATAAAGAGACTTTCTATAGACATTGTAGAGATTGACGTCACCAGACTGGTAAGTAGTTGGAAACATTACAGCAGAAATCGGAAGGTTAGAACAAATTTCAGGCTTTCATGCTTCTCAATTATTTTATTTTGAGACCGATAGTTTTGTTTTCAATTTCTCGCACTCAAATTTGCTAAATATTTCTCTTCAATTCCAAGAACGAGACGAGATCTAATACCAGAATATGTTGTGATTTGTTTCTTGCTCCCAATTGAGGTCAAAAGTGAAACAAAAATACTCAAGCTCAGAATTTAATTGTAAATAGAAATGTCTAGCATGAATTGGATATCTATAAACAAATGCACATGATGGACACTTCTTCCGATTAACAATATCCTCATTATATTAGTTGTGTTAATAAGTGCAAAGGGAAAAAAATTTATTGGCTCGTCTCATTCAATCAATAAAAAAATAAAAGATAATCGAACGAAAGAGGTCGTAAATTATTGTGTTTTAGGTAGATCAAAAACTAATTATCATAAAAGGGATAATCCAATCATATAAACATAGACTTAAGTTTAGTGCGATTAATGATGTTCTTTTGAACATCATTTTACTATAATTTTTTTACTATTTACAATGGCTTATTCTCCATGCTCTCCTCTGTATGATTTAACTTTGACCATGGAACAAACTATTGATGCTTGTCAACGGTTAGGTTTATTGCATGTTTATCCAACTGAATCATGTTCAAAGAAGCACAATAATTGGTATTTAGGAGCTTGTGCAAAATCAGTCCACAAATGGACGTGACGTTGTTGGATATGCAAGTCTTCTCGTTCTTTATGTGATAGCACTTTTTTCACAGAGTCGACTTATATAACAACAAATTTTGGATTCAATGATGTACTGGTCACAACGATCAGACTCACACAAATTCATTAAAAGAAATATTAATATATTAGGTGATGCAATAATCATGAGTTGCCTAATTGGAGTTCGAATATAAATGAAACTCAAGAAGATAAGTGCCACTCAGAAAATAAATTTAAAAAAAACAAACCAACACTGCAACAGCCAAAAAGCCACAATTTTTTATCTAAATTATAAATTATAATTCAAGCAAATACTACCCTGTTCATGGGTAGTAGACGATGTCTAGGAGTGCTGAGAGGATCTCCAAAGGATGTAGAGTACATTTTCAGGTGGTCTTCACAGAGTCTGAAACGACCTCTTCGAGGTTCTCAGTGGTGCTACAAGGGATTCTGCGTGCTTTCAGAAGATTCTCCGTGCAGCTCCATCGCCAGGTATTGTAGATGATTGGAAGTACCAAGGTATGACTCTTTTCATCCATACCACGACTCTATCCAAAAAAATTCTGTTCGCGTCATTCACATTTTATTTCAGTGTTGCAGCGTGGAGGTACGTGGCATCCTTCGAAGAGCGATGAACAATGCTCGTCTCTGTGCACACAGCGGGGTGGGTGGATGTGAATCTGAAGATGAAGAGAAGACCAACACCTTAATATCTACGCCCATATCCTGCATAAGATCGCTTCACTGCTTCACTGATGCTCATACAGAAGAACGAATAGGATGTCTTTCAAAAGAAAGCTTCTCATAGTATTGCATTTGCAAATTCGAGACGCTTCTTCAATTCTGTCAATAAGATTTGATGCTTTGATGCTTAAATCTTAGATTTTAATGGGATTTGCTGAGGTTCAAAAAGGTTTTTCACTGATTCTACGTTATTAAAAAGTTCTATTAGGAGTTTTTATATTTGCTGCTATATTAGCTTCCTAAGAGCAAGATTTCTGTGCTCCACTACCATAACTCTGGATGCAAGTTAAGTATTGTGAGGATTATTCTGTTTGACATAGTTTATAGTGGGACTACTTAGAGTAATAGAAAAGTAGTGACGGAGGTACTTTATTTTCGTATAGAAGGCTTGAGAGAACTTTCTTTTTCAGATACAATGATAGTAAAAACAATGCTCTGTTTTTTTTATGGTGCTCCATCATTGTACAACTAATCTGATAATAATAAAATTTCAATAAGAGCTGTTTTTCTGTCATATCTGACGATTATACTAATGCCTATAAAAAAAAAGCTCAAGTTGATATTTTATGAATACATTATAGGATCTCCTAGTTTATTATCTGAGATTTGTTTAATCAATTTTTCAAGTGTCAACAAACAACGGTTTATGATCGAAAAGGAAACAGCAAAAAAAAAGAAATTATTTTTCACAGATGTTGCTACAAAAATCACTTAGAACTTCGACTAGAGTATGTAGAATTAACGAATAATTAAGTCTAAACATCTGAACCTTGTGCAATTTTGTAGGTATTCCATTGACAGTTTGAGTTTTCTGGGATGTGGGTATGGGTAAGTGTCGGTGAACAATGTAATATCCACACTCTACCGACACCCACACTCACAACCCATATTTAATAAACTTAGCATATTGCTTCAAAGAAAAAGTAGAAAATATACACGAAGAAACTTAGAACTTATAACGATAGCTTTACACTTGGTGTATAAAATATTTGTTTTTTTTGCAACTATAATCAATTAGATGATAAAATTCAGAAATGTTTAACATGAGATTTTCATTCGAACGATTTATGTTCGATTTGTCAGACAAAAAAGAAAAACCTGTAGTTAACTTTCTTAATATTACAGTATTTAAATTTACATCATTATATCAAAAACAGTGATGGGATCGATTAGCATTTGTTTGAGATCGAACCGATCTCATCTCTGATCGAAAAGAACATAAACATAATTATAATACATACATTGATCAAAGCATTTTATATTCATTGTGTAACCATTGTTTTATATTCCGTAAGAAATAATGTACAACGATTTCACATACGTATACATAAACAGGGTGTTTCATAAGTTTCGACCCTTTTTTTTCTGTCTTTGCTATACTTAATCGTGAAGAGGTATTGAATATATGTTTTTGGAGAGTAACATCTAAGCTATCAATTAAAAAAATACATTCAATTAGCATGAACTCTAAGAGAGAACTACATCGATAAAAATTTAGTCAGAGACATTTTTTATTCTTTCTCTCGTAGAATTGAATAGCTAGCAGTAACACCCAGTGACGAAGTCTAGGGGCTCAGCCCCCCCTGGCGAAATTTTTGAAATATGTATTTTATTCACTAGGAGAGTTGACTCGTCCTTGCGGACCTTTAAGCTCTTCTAGCCTGAAACCCTAACTTCGCCATTGGCTGCTTAGTCGTTCACTGGCTGCGAGTTATTTTTATTATTCTTTTTCTATGATACAATATTTACGTGAGAAAAAAGTTTGTATTATTCGCGCGCGTTTTTTTGACAACAACACTATAATGTCACGTCTGAACTAGACAGACAAAAGAATGATGAGAGAAAATTTGATCATCCATTTTCCCCGTGTCAAAAAAATACGGTTAATACTTCGAAGATCGTAGCGACATTCCACAAATCATCTAAAAGTAAATATGACTCCATTCGCACCATTCTTTCATGCATATAACTTCTTGTAGCACTCATCAATTACACATATAGTCACCATTCTTCTGTCTCTTTAGTTTTGGCATGACATTATCATACTGTTGTCTAAGATATACACGTGAATACGAACTTTTCTCTAACCTGAATATTGTGTCATAGGAGAAGGGATGATAAAAATGACTTACAGCTGAATAAGTGCTGCTATTTTTTTTAAAATTCTGATATAGAAAGAAAAAATGTCTTTAACAAAAATGTTTCTTGATATAATTCTCTGTTAGAGTTCATGCAAATTGAATGTAATTTTTTTATTGATAGTTTTGAGAGATATACTCAATATTTTTCCACGATTAAGTGCGACAAAGATAGAAAAACAAAGGATCGAAAGTTTTGAAATACCTTTTAAGTCAAATTCATAAATCTTCTTCAAAAGTTTGCAAGCGGAATTATTTATGAACTAGATTGTGGATAACCGTTGATACTGAGCTGAGTTGTATCGAAGTCTGTTGAAACAAGCCATGCAAGATAGAGCATGTCATTGTCGATTAATATTGGGCACTGTGCAAGAATTGATGATTTCAATGGAACATCAACATTGATGCGTGTCAATACCGTTCCAGTATCAGCACGAATTCGAGCAATGAATAGATTTGATAAACGTTCTTGTTGATCAGTAGATGAAGACGAAACGAGAGTATAGATTATTTTTGTTTCAGTATTCAATGTTAAACAATTTGAAACGAGATTGAATCGATCAATTTCTTCGTCGGAAGTGATCCTCGCTTGCCATTGAAGTTTTCCATTGATATTAATTGCATTTAGATATGGAAGAACACCAATATAAGTAACGCCTGTGTGATCATCAATAACTGGCTGAGTACATCGAGTTGAATTTGTTCGAGAATCTGTCCACTGCCAAATTAAATTAAATCCTACTGATGGTAGAACATTCCAAGCAGAAACAACAAGAGTTTTCGTTGTCTCAGTGACGTTTAACCACGGTCGTACGATGAAAGCTTGGAATCGATCGAAAGCATAATGTCGACTTCCACCAGAATTCATATTTTCATCGAGTAATTTCTTATCTCGTCCATCTACTTTTCGAAAATGATCATCATTTCCAATCCAATAAATTCCAGTACCATCACTATTGTAATCTGAATCGTTGGCTGCTCCGATCGACTGACGATCAATCCAAACCAATTCTAAACTAGTTGTATTGATTACGGTTGGCGATTGATCACCAATCGTTGTAAACAAATATATAGCTACATCATTGATAGCTAATGGATTATTAAATTTAGAATAGAGTAATGCATTTTCCACACATTCTTGTAGTGGATTAGCAGTTTGAATCATCGATAGACGACATACTTTAGCTGAATATGAACTATCGTTCGCCCAGGATGAGATGAAAAAGACTTGACCATTATTAGTTGAAACGATATTTGATACAGCCTTATTGATCATTTGTGCAATAGGATCCAAATATAATTTCCATCGAATAGTACCATTTGATGTCACAGAAAGGAGATAATTAGCTGAACAAAGAAAACGAATTTTGATACAAAAATCTTGTTATAGCAACCACTGATGACCCAAAATGCGAAACTCAAAGACGAATATGATACGAATTATGAGGAATCAAAAGACCTAATTCAGTTCAAGACATGATCTTAACTTCATGTGCTTACATAGTAGATAAAATAATTTTTATCTATATTTGTAAGAGAGTAGCAACTTCCGCTACAAACTGATCCTCAATTTTTCATACCGATTTCTACTGAAAATAATGATAGATATCATCGTCTCCGAGAACGCTGCTCTTTTCCTAAATCTAACTACTAACAAATATTGAAATATATAGCACGAAACGTGAAGGTAAGCAGTTGTATTTACAAAAATTCTGATCACCGATGAAAACATGAAAATGTGGATTCTTAAACTACATCCTGTTTGCTTAGCAAACAAACTCTTTCCACTCACACACACACTTTCGTCTATTTTTTCTCCT